GGAGCACAGCTTCCTTGCTCCTCCATGATGCTTCCTACCCTATTATCGAGGGTGTTAAGCCGTTTCTCTTGATTTTGGAGAGCGACAGCCATTCCTTCCAGAGACCTAGCAATTCTAGCTAATTGCTCCTCCACAGACTTTGTGTTTGTCGCCATGGCCGGCATGACGTTGTAGACATGAGACCACTCAGGTGCAGCCTTCCATAATGGATGAGGCGGAGTTACGGGGGAAGTGCTCCCGCTACTAGCGTTCCCTTGCATAGAAGTTGGACTACCACCATCGGTAGCTCCCTTGGGAGAGGGTGACTTCCAGTAAAAGCAATTGCCTTTGAGGCAGCAGGGGCCTTGTTGAGCCTTCGAACCACCCGTTGTGCCATGGACTGAGGTTCAGGTACTCGGACCCCCAAATCCTTTGCGCGGTTCCTTGTCAGCGGACCTTGCGTTTTCTGGGTTGTGCCAGGGCTAGCTACAAGCGTAGACTTGGACTTGGTAGCTTGGGCATAGGTCCTCCTGAACTTGAAGTAGTTCCTTGTTGGAAGTATGCCGAGTTCAAAGTATGTTGAACTGGAAGTATGCCGAGTTCAAAGTATGTTGAACTGGAAGTATGCCGAGTTCAAAGTATGTTGAACTGGAAGTATGCCGAGTTCGAGAGTATGCCGAACTGGAAGTAGTTCCTTGCTGAAGGGCCTCCGGAGTTAGTAGCTTGTTCCTCAATGAAGGGCTAATATGCAGCTTGATCTTCAAAGAAGGGCTTCCGGTGTTCAAGTGGCGTGTTCCTCAGCGCGTATACGCAGTACAACTGCGGGCGTGTTCCAGACGATATCCTGGAGAGATTTCGGCAGAGCTTCGATATGCAGATTTCCAGAGCTCCAATTCTAGAAAATGAAACCACTATTTATAGTGGTGAGGGTGAGAGAAAATCTCCAACCAACTCTTAATTCTTTATTTAATTTAATTTCTTTAATTAAATTAAGGAATGTATCGGGACACCATTGTGTCCAGGTTCATCATTTCATTAAATTTCAAATAATATCAAATAATCCAAATTCCTCAAAATTATGTAATCCACATATAATTTTGATGGGCCAAGACCAAGTCAAACCCGCTAATTAGGCAGCCCAATTCATCCAAGCAGTCTGGTCCGACTCAATTAAATATTCCACCAACTTGGGCCGAATAATCCAACATCCAATTACATTTAATTAAGTAATTAGACTAATTAAATATTCAATGGGCCATTTAATTAACCCAATTAAATAAATATTAGTCCAATTAGCCTAATTAAAGTAATTAATTTAGCAATCAATTACCCACCACGGTCTAACAATATTATTTAAATTTTCAATGCTTACAATCATTATTGCTAACATTCCTTTTAGGTAATTATACTAAATTTCAGTTTGCATTACATTTAGTCTTGCATAGGTGTAGATTGAGAGCAAACCATAGATCTATAAGTGATTTCTACATTTTAGGCATGTGAGCTTATTTCCTCCAAGGAAGACCAGATTTCTCATCACTGTTCACCTTTCTTAATTTCTGAAAGGTTGAGTGAATGATTTTGCTTCAGTTGGGATTAATTTATGCGTGTTCAATGATAGATTGGAGTTAAATTGGTGAAGTGGCTGGGTGCAAAATTTGGGCAAGGATGGTGCACCGTGTCAAATGAAAGGGTTACACTGGCTTCGTGTCCTCCAAATGGGTTTAGAGGTTCAAATCCTTCAGGAAAATGTAAAGAAACCACCTAACTCAATTTTTGGCACATCTCGTTTGATTCTCATGTCTACAAAACCCGACACTACTAACAAAGCATTCAACTCATGAAGACGTGTTATGCATGGCCTGACTGTGTATCATGCAATTACTAGGTGGGATGTTATTCAATTCCCCGACATGTATGTCAAATAATGGAACATGGTGGTGCTATGTTTCTTAGACCACATAAAGGGATCTTGATATGTCTATAGAACTCGTGACCTCTGACAAAGCATTATATACAACTGATGAACACATGGAAAACATTACTCGGTTACATATCATGCAATTATATCACAACTTTATAAAAATAATCATAACAAAATGATTAAAAAAAATGACACATCTCATAATATATTAGAAAAATGATAGTGGTTGGATATGGTGAAAAATATATTAAAAAAATGGCCATTGTTGGATATGGGTGAAAAAATAAAATACATAAGAAATGTAAGTAAAACTAGCAAGCACTACACATGACCTTTCATAAGTTGTACGCATACCTTACCAACTTGACTAACTTATCTTTTTGTTACATTTATATATATTTTATACTTATACCTATACATGTACTATATTTATACGTATAATTACAAGGGCTATATATAGGGGTGGGATGGGGAATGGAGGCAGCTGTCCCCACTATAGCTCCGCCCATGCATCCTCCTTCTTGATCGGACCTAATAGATCGACCTAGCCCTGTTAGCTAGGTATATATATTTACTTATTTATTTCAAAATTATGCTAATCCAAAATCATGTGCTAAAGACTAAATATTGTCCAATAGGTACCACCCATTAAATAGGCATGCATGAACATATACTTAAAAAAAAAACGATAAATAAGTATAATAATATTAAACTAGAAAAAGTATTTCATATTAGTGATATAATTAGAAAAATATTGGTAGCTGATACGTATAGTGGCTACCATTTCTATTTTCAATGTCATCAATACAAATATTCTTCATATTTTAATATTACTTATTCCTCTATTTCTTTTATATTTTATGTTTGTATTTTCGGATAGGTGAAATTATTAGTTGAAAATGCATTTGTGTGTGTTGTTTCTATATTCTTAATTTTTGAATGGTTGAGTGAATGACTGTGTTTAAGTTGTGATTAACTTATGTGTCTTACCTTCAATGTTGGTGAAGTGGTTGGGTGCAAGATTTGTGCAACTGACTTATCGCAGCGCGTTGGTTCTGCTGTTCCGCCAGCATAAATCTAAGCTAGTTTAATTTGGCCGACAGTTTATCTCTGAAAATGACAAAGCTCTTCTTCAGCTGGATTAGCACCAGAACCATCAGCCTCATCAAACATCTGCTCCACCTCCTCATCAGTGCCAACATCCTCAGTTGCTGACGTCCTTGAGCATTTACCCTTTTGTCCTAGCAGTGATCTCTTCAAAGTATTCCCCACTTAGAAGGATGTTAACATAGATTTTTTAATTCAAAAATTAAAAGAAAAAAAAATAATAATGGAAAAGACTATCAATCCAAGTCAAGAAACGAGTTAACTCACTGACCAAAATTTCCATCTCCAATCACAGGTTCAACATCTTCGATTCTCACTATCAACTAGTTTTGAACTCACAATTTCACCGTCAAGTAGTACTGAATTCACAACCCCTAACCAATGCTATTGACACTAACTTTGTAATTTCTTTCCCATTTTCTTCCCCTCCTTTGATTTGATGCAAAGGAAAATATAGTGGGTAGGGACTTGCTATTTCCTATCTAATCGCAAATTATTCTATGGACCTGGTCGCCCGGGCCCACTTTTTAAGGTGGACCTGGGTCAAAATGTTCACAATTTACATACTAAATGTTCACAATTTATATTTAAAAAATTCACAATTTGTATACTAAGAACACACATTCTTAACATATACGTAATTGATTACCTTGTTTTGTATTCACAACTCCATTTCAAATACAGTAGTCACACAATATTAACAGATTAGGATTTCATGACTCATGTATTGTATTCACAAGTTTCGTCTTACAACAATTCTTATGTGTTTTGACTTAGAAACACAATTTTGTTGTAGATACTAAATTATTATTTAATTTAATAAGAGTAAAATAGAGTACTGATTATGCCAACTTTGATTGGAATGGGGTTTAAACCTAAGACCTTTCTTATTGAAATCTATGAGTAAGTTAACGGTGAACTAACATAAATTAATGGAGAAAAAAATATTTAACGGAGAAGTTAAAGGATAATCATGTAATTAAGGATAAATGAGAAAATCTCAAGGAAAAACTAAAATCTGATCAACCTGAGCCATTCATTTGATTAAAAAATTTGACCGTCAATTGTTCTAGCGTAACTCTCTTTGGCTCTTATTAGTATAGTAGATGATCAATATGAGCCATGCATTTGATTAAAAAATTTGACCGTCAATTTTTCTATACATTATAGGCCTAACTCTCTTTGGCTCTTATTAGTATATATATATAATAGATAGATTACAAATTAAAATTTTTAGTCCCTTAGGGTTTCCAACTCTAGACGCAGTCACATACAATTGGGCATGTACTCCATGCATTTTCACCGGCCATTACTTTGGCATCAATAACATGGTCGGACAATGGAATTTGTGCTTGTGCTTGCCATGGCAGGGTTACAAAATCTAAGCCAGTGGACAGAAAGGAATTTGTGCTTGCCATGGGTTACACTTGTCAGGGGATGGCACCGTTTTTCTTCATATTACTATGTAAAACTCTGCATTTCTGTGCCCAGATTCTTTATCTCCTATAATCTAGCTAGTACCAGTATCTACAATTGTATATGTAATATTTTTTTCTTAAGAAAATCATGTCTGTTTGCAAAATAAAGCCTGATGCATTGAAGTATAATTGCTTGGAAATTGGAATTTACAGTGTTAATTTAAACAAATGAAATTAGTAATTTACACAGATGAAATTACTAATTTAAGAGTAATTAATATATTCCATTATTCTCTTTTATATCGTGATTGGCCCCCCGCATTCTTCAGTCCTGGCTCCGCCCCTGATCGCAAATATGGTGCCTTCTTATGTTCGGAATGCTGATTACTAACCATGCACCACTTTCTAATCCATTGCTACACCTCTAGTGGAATAATACGCATCCAAGATATTATATATGAATATAGTTTTGCTGTTCATGCAGACCGGTCATGTTGTTCTTGTTGTTACTGGTTTTTACTTTTTTTAATAAATAAATATATAACCTGCTCAAAATTTTGAAAAATTTTCACTCTTCAATAATAACACTGAACTGATTGTCGTTGTCCTTACTTTTGATGAAGCACAGTAGTAGATTAGTTTAGCAAATTTTACAGTAATTTTTTATCCATTTAGATATGCAATGAGAATTCAAGAGCTTCCCAACCAGTGCTTTATTTTACACATCATATTGGTGCTAATTTCCAGCACGGTTTAATGTCTCAACAAGGTTAGTCATCCTGCTTGTTTTGGTTAAGTACATATATATGTCCTTTTTCTAGCAAAATCATGCAAAAAAAGGTCCGATTATAAAAATTCTTAATTCTTGACATCACTTCTAATTTGTTGCAAGTTGGTAGTTCAACTTTGAGTGCTCCTTTTTCCTTTTTCTCCCTTCTTAATCCAAATGTTTTCCTCTTCTTCATTTTAATTGAAAATTTTCAGTTCTTTAATGGCTGCCATAACATGCCTTGTTGGATTACATTGTGGGCACATTCTTGTGCAGGTCAAGGTAAGATGCACTCTGCTGCTATTTGGCTTATTTGAAAACTTAAATTAAATCCTATCATTATTTTCTTCATTATTTTTTATCACACGTATCTGTTATTTTGATGTAGGGTCACAAGCAAATTAAAGGATAATATTTTGGTCCATATTCTCCTTCCCACTACTGATTGTTGGACTTGTGCGGGTGGTTGTAGGTAATGTTGATTGTATTTCACATGCATTTATATCTAGGAATTAAAATTTTGTAATAAAACAATGCACGAAGTGTTGTTGTTTCAGGCATTCCTCTTTCTAAACCACTCTATACATTGAGCTATATATATGTACGTTCACCACCACTGGAGCTTCAGCCATTGCTTTTACCATCATATATTACATTGTGAGTGTACACTTATATTTTAAGTCATTCCTTTCATCCAAGCTTGAAATTAAGGAAAATAATAGTTAGGCCAAAGCGTCCTGAATGTAGGTTTGTGTTGAAATAGGTCAATAAAGAAAAGGTTAACTATATGTTGACGTAATTTGTTTGAGGAAACCAATGATAATATTTCAATGGATGGGAATGAATGCTCTTATCATCTATGCTTTAGCTTCCTGTGACATCGTTCCTGCAGCTCTTAGCTTCAAGGTCTCTATCATCCCGCAACACGCAAGCATGTTAGGTCATTTCGATCATCCCGATTTCGTGTAGAAGGGTAGCAACTCTATTCTCACAAAGTGGTTTAGTGAGAATATCTGTGACACCCCGTAATCCAAATTCAATGAAAGGATTAATTGAGTAATTTATCCTAATCCAATTGATAATTTAATTCCTTAAACTCCTGAAAATTCAATAGTCGGGGACTAGTAATTGACTAGTCAACCCAAAGTCAAGTGTTGTACCTAAAGCTTTGTGAGTGGTTCCCTTGTTCCCTTACACCTCTTCATTTTAGTAAGGGTAATAAAGACATTTCACCTTATGTTAGTAATGCAAGCTAACGTAGAAGACACCCCTCATTCTTTCCCCTTACACTTTCCAAACTTGAGCTCCTCCTTCTCTCTAAAAGTTAGATAGTTTTTCTTCCATGCCAAGTTGGAGCTTTGCAAAATCTTCAAAGTTTGTCTCCAAGATTCCACCTTTCCTACGTTTGAGCATCTAGGAGGGTAAGATCTATGTTTATCTTGTGTTTTTAGTGTTTTCTAAGGTGTCTTTTCTTAAAGATAGAATCTTTATGATCTTTTGGTGTGTTCTTGAAGTGGGTGTGGAAGGTGAACCTTATTAGGAGCTTGGTGAAGTGTTAAGTGAAGGTTTTTGTCTACAAGAGGTAACCCATGCTCTATAAAATCTATTTTTCTTACCTATATGATGATTTCATAGATTCTACATGTGTTTTGCTATGAAATGTGAGTGTTGATGCATTGTCTTGTGAAAATGCATATCTAGAGCTTGTTATTAGGGTTCTTGTATGCCATTGTTTGGCTATTCCTTTGATTCAAGTCATTTTGTTGTATTTGGTGTGATTTGGCATGTTTTGGACTTGAATTTGAGCTTGGAGTTGAAAATCCCCGAGGGATTGTTTTTGGTACATGGTGTGTACCCGCGGGCGGAACGGCGGGCGGGGCACCACCCGTCACCCCACCCGCGGGGTACAAAGCCTCGTGGGAGTGGTTCCCGCGGGCGTAACCACGAGTGGAGGTCCACCCGTGGCTCCACCCGCGAGTACAATGTTGGTGTTGTTTGGGGATTTGTTCCCCGTGATTCTTTTGACTCGGTATTTGGTCTTTTGACTTTCTGATGTTCTTTTATGGAACTATTTGAGCGTCTTCTTGATATTTCGTATGTCTAGAACTATATGGTAGGATTCCATGTAGGTTTTGGTGTCTTGAATCGTGCTAAGTGTTCAACATTGTGATTCGTTGAACCGTGATGAGTCTTGTGTGTTCTTCGGAACTACGTTTGGTTTACGCGTTTGATAAGCATGCTAGTTCGGTGTTTAAATGCTAGCATGTGTGTTGTTTGTCCTTTCCTATTGTTGATGATGACTTGTGTTAATCATCGCTGTTGTTGGACTGTGATCCATTCCTTGATTGAGTATGGTTTCATATCTTCGTTGTGATCCGTTGATTGATTCCTGTTGTGGTGTGGTGTATGTGGTTGTATCTGGATTGCACGATTAATGGTATGGGACATTAGTCCCCAAGGTACGGCAGTGGTCCTCGTGGTGGCCATGACGCGATTATGGAGTTTGTGACCTGAGTGATGGGTTCACGTATTTCTTGGGTGGCATGTGTTGTCGTGTGTGTGATCGGTACCCTCGTGTACTATGAATCGGTGGTCTTGTTGGTAGTTGTTGGTGGGGGACGACGGTCCCAGGAGGGAAAAGGTTGGACTTGGATGTACAGGGGACTTAGAGGTAATGGTTGGAACTAGACATAAGGTTGGGGGTAGACAAAAGGTTGGAACCGGGCATAAGGTTGGCATCTCAATTCGTGATGGGTGATGTCACGAAGGCTTGTGTAGCCGTTGTTGTGCGTTTCTCTATTTGTGACATGTGTTGTCACAAAGGCAATGTTTTGCCAATGGTTGTGTCCTTATTCTCTTGTGTTATGCATGTCGGGTGTTAATCTACTGTGTGATGGTAGATTATGCCTTGAGCCGTTCTTGTGAGTCGTTATTGCTACTTGATGTCTTGGGATGTGTTCCCTTATCTTTATTGTGAGTGCATAGAGTCTTGTGTTGATCTCTATCTTGGCTTTGAAATTGATATATACTATATCCCGTTTCGCAAATGATTTTGTATACATATAAACTATCTACATATATTATTTCACATGTATTGTTGGGTTACCAGCATCATTCGCTGACCGGGCGTCGTCCCATATATATATATATATATATATATATATATATATATATATATATATATATATATATATATATATATATATATATATATATATATATATATATGTGTGTGTGTGTGTGTGTGTGTGTGTGTGTGTTTCTTTCAGGTGCTGATTAAATGAGGGCGCAGTCTAGAAGCTGTTAGAATAGATCCCCTTTTCTTTATGTTGATTTGGGTCTGCGTGCCTTTGTTTAGACTTAGACGTTATGTGTTGACCTTGGTTTTGAGATTGATAGATCATGTTGCAGATGTTTACGCCTGTGCGTTCACCATTGTGTGAGTGTGGCGTGACACTCTACGTTTTCCATCTATTTCATATCTAGTCTTCCGCTATGTATGTTTTATGGTTAGTTTATCTGCATGTTTAAGGTTTAATTTGGTATGAAAATCGGGGTTGTTACAAACCCACTTTGCTATTCTGACCACTGAAGGAAGTGGTCAGAAATAGCGACCACTTTTCTAAAGTCGTCAGAAAAAAAAGTCCACCAGAATAATAGAGCGGCTGTGGATTTTCAGACAACCGGCAGTCGAAAATTCCGACCACTTGGAGGTAGCTAGTAAAAAAAAACATTTCAATTCTCTGTAGTGAATATATATATATATATATATATATATATATATATATATATATATATATATATATATATATATATATATATTGTTGCAAGATGGTAAGATATTTGGTGGAAAACTATACATATTTCATTCGATTATAATCTTTCAATTTCATTAAATGATAAAATAAGTTGTTGAAATACAAACCCAATCCACCTGAATATATATTCAGGTTTCTTGGTGAAGATTGAACTACTCAAACCCTGAGGCACAGAGTTGTTTATTTAAACAACATGTCTGCAAAAAGAGTGGATACTCAGAAGTGAGACATTAATTGAAAAATGTTTGTCCATGTGACACAACACAAAACAATTTCTAATCAATGAAAACCATAAATTTTCATAAAAAAAAGTAGCTACCTTAAATTTTATAACATAAAGAACTGGGCCAAACAACTCTTCCTTCGCGAAATTAGCACTTGGAGATATTTCTACTATTGTTTGCTGCACAAAGTATACCTCAGATAGTATAACTAAACCTCCTGTAAGGATCTTGCCTCCCTGAAAATTAAATCTATTAGTAAAATTTTATAGAAAAAACAAGAGTCAAAGAAACAAAGCATATAAGAAACCAATTGCTGCTCCTGGTTGTCTTGAGATGTGATCTGGTTATTCCAAGACAATATCATTCATTCTTCAGAAGGACAAAAATAATGGTGGAACTTAATTTTATATATATATATATATATATATATATATATATATATATATATATATATATATATATATATATATATATATATATATATATCATTTCACTACAAAGGAATTCTCTCTGTAGTGAAATGAATGTTTTTTTATTTGTTGCTTCGAGTCTTCCGACCACCAAATTGGTCGGAAAATCTAGACTCGCCCGATTGTTTTGTTGGTCAATTTTTTCCAACCACTTTATAAAAGTGGTCGCTATTTCCGATCACTTTTTTCAGTGGCCGGAAATAGTGAAGAGGGTTTTTCCGAATACCCAATTTGGTCGGAAAAGTGGATGGAGCAAGAATTTCCGACCTAATTAAGGCCATTTCTGATCACTTTCAGGAGGTCAGAAATTCATTTATTTCCAGTAGTGATAGCTAATCGAGTCACGGAATCGTTGAGATACAGAGAGAGTTTGAGGTGCGGAGTTGGAAATTTACGCATGTTGAAAAAAAAAACTTCATGTTGTCATGCTAATATTAACGTTTTTTTTTTGTTGAGATAAGCTAATATTAAAGTTCATATACTACTAGATTGCTGGATATATGCCTATCTAAAGAATAAAGTGTCACTTGCGTCATCAAGAATTAATTATAGCCGGATCAGTGGTGGAGCATGGATTTACGTTAAGTGGGGGCGAAAAAGCAAAGGTAAAATGAATTAAAAAATGTTCAAATACAAAATACAAAATATCAAATATGAATAAAATTGTTAAACAACTATATGCTATAAGTACAAATGGAATGCATAAATAGTGAAAAACAAATGGCAACTAAACGGAGCAGTGAAAAAGAAATGGCAACTAAACGCAGTTACAAGGGGCAATATTAGAATATTATTAATATTAGTAGATGGAAAAAAAGATAAACAAAGGGCAACTAAGTGGAATGCATAAGCATTGAAAAACAAATGGTAACTAAACACAGTTACAAAAGGCAATATTAGATGGAAAAAAAGAAGCAAGCAACAAGTTTCTAACTGCTGACCTTTCATTCATATTAAGAGGCAAAACAATGGCCTTACCATCCAAGCCAACCCAAACCTTATTTAAATCTTGGTATATATAATATATATACAATTTATATGGGGTAGGGCAGTGGGGGCAGCTGCCCCCACTGCTCCCATTGTGGCTCCGCCACTGACTAGGATAATTAGGATGACATAACTTAATTAGTGGGTGAGTTAATATTGTGCCTAAATTAGCATATGGACACGTCAAGGCAAATTTTCCCCACCCTATGCTCCGCAAATATCAGGACCAGGAACCCAGCATGAGCTCTCCAACCAAAAGAAAGGATGCATCCGAATCAAAAAGAGGAAACACAAGACATGAGTCCAATCAGTCACGACACGATAGTAGAAGAAATTCAATGGTCGTAAATGAATCCAGTGAAGTGGCTGAACCCGAAGAGAGCACATCAAGCTCTAGCTCAGATAGTGAAAGTTCAGAAGTTGAAAAAGGACTCATGTGTTTGTTTGGCCGAGAGGAAGAAGAAAACAACTTATGTCTGATGGCCAATAATGATGACGTAAATTCTAAATCCTCCTCATCTACTCAAATAGAATCTAGCTCGGAAAGTGAAGGAAATCCAAATGAGACAATCTTTGAGATGATGATGGATTTCAAGGTAATTGAAAGCACATACTCCAAGTTAAAAGAAGAGAACTCTCGACTTAAGATCAGTTATGATGAGCTCAGACGCGTTAGAATTAGAAACATAGGGTTAGCCATCACCAGTTCTTTTTCTTAAGGAGTAGTGCACAGAAAGAGAGTTACGGGAGCAAAATTTGTGTGAGGTCGTTGCATCATTTACCAATTCGTCTAAGATGATAGAAAGAATGGTGAATGCATCAAGACCGCGAAGGGAAAAAGTCGGAATTGGCTATGACACAAAGTTCCCCATCACAAATCCTGTTGAACAAACCCATGGATCCTTCTTCTACTGGAGGTTTAAAATCCGTGTTTATTCAAGGACCAACCCAGATGCCTGAGCCAATGAATCAGATTAACAAGGGTAAAACACCATAAACAACAAGGCATTATAAATGAAAGGCTATCCAATGTGTTGTGGAACCAACAAATGGAAATCTCTCGAAAGGCAATCCTAGATATGGCAACATTGTCAAAAGGAATGGATCAAAAGTAAATAGACCAAGTCTTTGTTACAACAAAGATTAGCCTACGAGGAATTACCACTTTAAGGAAAACCCTAATGTTAATCAGAGGCAAGTTTGTCTTGTGAATCAACGCAAAGGTTATTCACATGAAGGACGGAAGAATCGACGAAACTGGCATACCAAGTCTAAGAGGTCACTTAGAAGACCGATGACAGGCGACGGAAGGAGTGGACCTTCCGATGAAGACTGGCTTGTGTTTCCCGAACCTTTGTCGAAAGCAGAATTCGAGAAAATTCGCACACACAAACAGACTAACTATTCTAAGGTGTATTGCAATCCACCCGAAACCTATTTTCAAAGTCAATACAAAGCCAAAACTTTTGCAAAAATCCATTATGCTTATCGCGTCTTTAATGGATAAAGAGGACCAAGAATGAGCAACACTAGCTCTAGATTCGTCTGGATCCCAAAACTGACCACTAACCCTCAAGGACCCGAAATCGAAAGGGTGCCTAAAATTGCATAAGTTTTTATTTCAGGACAACAAGATTATATGGTACGTTGACAGTGGATGCTCAAGACACATGATAGGTGACAAATCAAATATGAGCAACTATAAGGAAGTTGATGGCCTCAAAGTCATATTTGGAGGGGAATCTAGTGGAAAGACAAAAGGAATGGGTGATATCATCAGAAACAGATTAACCATTCAAGATGTCTCATATGTTGAAGGACTCAAGTTTAATCTTTTGAGCACTAGTCAGTTCTCTAGGGGCTACAAAGTGGAATTTTCAAAGGACAAATGCAATGTCATCATTACTGAGAATGGAGACATTGTTCTATCTGCAATTCGAAAGAAGAATATGTACGTGGTTGCATGGGAATCCTCAAAAGCAAATGTTTGTCTTGTTGCCAAAAGTAAAGTAGATCTGAGCTGGAATTGGCACAACAAGATAAATCACCTAAATCTCAAAACCATCAGCAAATTGGCAAACAGAGACCTTGTTGAAGGTTTACCGAAAGTAGCTTATGTCAAAGATAGAGTTTGTGATGCTTGCCAAAAAGGAAAACAGATCAAAGCTTCATTCAAGTCTAAATCTATAGATACAAACTCTCGATCATTAAGTCTTTTTCATATGGATCTATTTGGACCATTTGATCCTGTCAGTCTAAGTGGACGAAAGTACACTCTCGTTGTAGTGGATACTACACAAGATACACTTGGACATTGTTTCTAAAGAAGAAAATGAAACTGAAAAGATGTTACCAGAACTTCTAAGACAGCTTCAAACAGAAAAGGAAGTTAGAAACATAGGAATCATATCAAATCAGGGCACAGAGTTCGTGAACAAAGTAATCAAAGATTTCTGCAGACAAAAATAACAAAATGGCATTTGCCATCAACTATCGGCTGCACGAACACATCAATAAAATGGAGTTGACAAAAGGATGAACAAAACTCTCAAAGAAGCAGCACGAACAATGATAGCCCACTCTGGACTACCTAAACGCTTCTGGGCTGAAGCAATCAACACAGCTTGCTACACTCAAAATCGGTCACTCATCAATAAAACTCATGGAGGTGCTTTGTTCATAACAACGGGAAGAATCATCTAAAAGCCTTCAACGAAGGAGCTAATGAAGGATTGTTCATGGGTTATCATCGGTTAGCAAAGCCTTCAGAACTCGGAACAAAAAAACCATGGTTATAGAAGAATCCATCCATGTCAAATTCGATGAAAGAGCTGAAAAGACTCCACTTATTGATGAAGCAATCAATGTAAGAAATCTGAGCATACAAGCTGAGCCAAGCAATGAGGAAGAAGAAAACTCGGATTAAACATAAGCAAAGCCTAAACCCTAAACATAAGCAAAGCCTAATTTCTGGAAAAAAAAAAAAAAAAAAAGCACAAGTGACAATTAAGCAAGGCATTAACTAATTAATTAAACATTAAAACTAGACAATCTATAATCTTTAATCATTAATCAAGTATTTAAGAAAAAATAAAACAGAACATATAATTAGCAACATAAATTATGTATATCATTACCATGTATAATTAGTGTAATTAAACATTAAAACTAGATAGTCTCTAATTATATAGATTCACGGACTAGCAAAACACCAATCCGCATTTGAGTTCGGATTGGAATTATGATTCAAGTGAAGTAAGCCTATTTCTTTTTATTTATTTATTTATTTTGAATTTTTCTTTTGATCTTTATTTTAATTTCTAGCTTTCAAAGCATTAGCTCTAGCGGTTGACTCGCTTATTTGAGTAATTAATCGTTGTTTTTTTTTATAACATTTTTCAATGTTCACTAATAAATCGGCTAATTAAGCTCATGTTTCTATAATCAATTCGATCCCCCGATTGAATCGGGGGCAAACGCCTACGAAAAGATAGCCTGTAGTAAGGTTTTTTTTTTCTTTTAGGGGGGAGGGGGGGGGGGGTGTGAATCAAACACGTAACCTTCTGATCTGGAGTCAGACGCGCTACCATTGCGCCACGGATCCACTGTTGAACAACTTTAACTTACAATTTTGTATACTGGTATTCTTTCTTTAGAATTAATCTCACATTTAGTTGCAAGATTACAATTGACATATTCCTTTTAATTAATTAACAAACAGAATAAATATGACGAAATTACTAATTGATGACTAAATATAAAAATACTATGGTAATTAGTCATATGATTAGAAGTAAAATTTAGTTTTCATGTTAGACATTGTCTTGATCTAAGACGAAATAGGAAGCTTCTTCTCCATGTTGATATCTGCATCAGTGTTGAATTAGGAATTGTTGCGGGTCTAGGAGGAATCATTATGCCTGGACACGTTGAGCAACAAGGTGAAACTATGTTTCTTAGACTACATTAGAGATTTGACAACAAATTCGAATTTTTTTTAGACTGCCATGGCTGTCTGATGACGGCCTCGGACAGCCATGGTCGTCCATGGCCGTTTGGAACGAGGGTGGCAGCCATGACCACCGCACTTGTTCCCGGTCATTTGAGGTCCAGATCTAGACCTCATGTTGACAGGCGTAGTTGTCCTCGCCGTACAGCCGGTGACTGGTTTTAATTATAATTTTTATTTTTAATTTGTAATGATTTAATAATAAATAAAAAGATTTTTAAAGAATAAAAGAAAAAAAATATTTTAAAAGCGACAGGTGTCAAGCTTGGGATGAATTAATCTGCTATACAAGCTAATTTAGACTTAATTGAACTATTTTACAGGTTCAGAGGATCTGAATGGCGCTTTTTTTACTTAGTGGACCTAATTGCACTATCCCGATTGGATGACTTAGGGGGGCCAATTTGACACTTTTTCCTAAATTGAAAAAGCTAAATAAAAAACTCATATAAATATATGGATTAACACAGTCAACTTCTTTGGCGAGACTTGAATCATAGAGAGGATGTACTACTAATACAAAAGAATTAACTTTAAATTTGATCAAATTTAAACTATGAATGCATTTAAGTTGAGGATTACCAAATTAAAACCAATTCCGCACTTAATCTTGTAGTCCATGATTCAGGAAATGCATTTTTTTTTAATTCTTGGTTAAACACGATCATTAGTTACACAAAAAGATTTAAAAATGCTTGGAAGTTAAAAGGTATATAGACTAAAGAAACTATATAAGAAAATTACAAGAAAATAGTAAATATAAATATAGAATAAAATTAAGTTACACTAGGAAAAACTATCCAGCATAAGTCTTTTCCTCAAGAAGATTTGTGGAAAAGAAGTGTAGCTTACTATCAAGTCACACTCTTAATCTCGAAGTAAAGTATTCATTGACATAGATGTTGAGCTGTGAAGATCTGTGACACCCCGAAATCCAAATTTGATTAAGGGATTAATTAAATAATTAATCCTATTTCAATTGGTAATTTAATTTCTAAAATCCTGAAAATTCAATAGTCGGGGACTAGTAATTGACTAGTCAACCCAAAGTCAAAGTTGTACCTTGAGCTTTGTAGGGAGTTCCCTTGTTCCCTTACACCTCTTCATGTTAGTAAGGGTATTCTTAACTTTTCACCTCGTGTTAGTATTGTAAGCTAAGTAGAAAACCCACATTTCTCTCCTTACACTTTCCAAATTCTAGCTCCACCTTCCCTCTAAAAAGGTAGATAGCTTTTCTTCCAAGCCAAGTTGAAGCTTTGTCAAAACTTCAAGAGTTGTCTCCAAGATTCTACCTTCCATACATTTGGGCATCTAGGAGGGTAAGATCAATGTTCATCTTGTGTTTTTAGTATTTTCTAAGGTGCCAATTTAGACTTAGTACTTGATGATGTTTGGTTTTAGATTTTGAACAATGCAGATGTTAGCCTGTGCGTTCACCCTTGGGTGAGCGTGGCATAGCACCCCTATACTTCCAGTTTATATATTTCCTCTTTCAGCTTTTCGCTGTGTTTGATGTTTTGGTTTAGGAATCTACATGTTTAAGGCTTTAAATAGCATGGAAATTAGGGGGTGTTACAAGATCAACCCTGAAGCTTTATTGTTAGTTGGCGAAAAGAAGTGTAGTTTACTATCAAACTACTCTTAATTATCCCAAAGTAAAATATTCATAGATATAGATAAAGGGAGTGGCGAGATTGACTTGAAACCTACTATTGGTTGTTGAAAAAAGTGTAATTTACTACTAAGTTACACTCTTAATCTCGAAATAAAATATTCATTATGGGATATTGACTGTATAGGCACTTTGACGAAAAGTATGATAGTAGCCAAACCCACAATTGAAGAAGAATGAGGAAACGCCAATTAGACAAGCATTATCCATGGTCACACCCTGCACATGCTTCAGTACAAGAAGGCAAGAACAACACTACCCAACCGTAGTCATTGGCACTTTGCGAATCTCTAATGTAGTCAAAGAAATATTGTCTTACATTGTTGTTCGACGTGTCAGAGAATAACACTCCACTCACCTAGTAATTGAATGATACGCAACTGAGTCATGCACTCTATGTCTTTACCATTTGAATGCTATGTTAGTGGTCGCGAATTTTGTAGACATGTCAGGATCAAATGAGAGGTGCAGGCCTAATAATTCTGAGGTCATGACATATGCCATCAATGTGCAATCCTCAGAAAATCTCCACATCTTGCAATGTGATGGTGGCTTCCCCAAATGGAAGATAAGTTGGTGAAGTGGTTGGGTGCAAGATTTTGGCAAGGATGGTACACTGTGTCAAATGAATGGATTACACTGGCTTCATGTCCTCCAATTGGGTTTGGAGCTTCAAATCCTTCAGGAAAATGCAAAGCAAACACCTAACTCAATTTTTGGCACATCTCGTTTGATCCTCAATTATACAAAACCCGACACTACTAATTGAGCATTCAATTCATGAAGACTTGCAATGCATGCATGGCCAGACTGTATATCTTTATTTTCTCCTTTACCCTTTCTCGTTCAATCAGCTCCTTTTCTCTGACAAGTCTTGCTTCTTCTTGCTTATTCCAAAGCTCACGATTTGCTTTCTTAATTTCTTCATTCCTTTGACTCTGATGAACTTGCCTAAAGTAGTTATCTCTCTTCTTCATCCATACAGGTATGTTGTACCGTTCAAAGCGTTTTCCACTTCCTTCTTCATATGGTTGGTAAGTGTGGAAGTTTCCTATGGCGTCCATGGTTACAGTGTCCTTACGCATCAGCCTTTGGCGAAGGTTCTTTTTCTCTCTGTTCATTTTCCCGGAGAATGAAAACTCAGAGGTGGATCCGAAGGATTGACGAGGTTTGATGGAATGTTGTCTGGATCTTGAAGAGTATTGTTGACGAGATCTGGATGCTGGAGGCGACGATCTCGTGTTTCTTGGTGAGCTTCTCCTCTCTTCATGTCTCGTGGAAGTTTTTCCTTCATTGTTTCTTCTGGATTCACCAGGACGTGATGGTGATCTATTTCTGTCTTCGTCCTTGTCATCATCCTTTCTTGTCTTTTCCCCCTTTTTGGCATCATCACATGGGGAGGCAGAAAACCTGGTTAGACTGTTAACCGCATTAAGGACATCCTTGACATACTCGAGCATAGTGAGCTGATATTCGCCCATCCGAAACATGTTGTCATGCCCTAGATCAATCTTCGTGCAAGCAAGGTCGACTCGTTCTTTGAGGCCGAATTGAGTGTGTTTGAGAGCATGTTGTTCCTTAGCAATTTTGTAGAGAATAGCACGCTGTTGATGGAGTTCCTGTGCGAGCTTATCTTGAGCATTTAAGGTGGAAGAGCTAGGTTGATGTTGAGACATGGTTTTTGTAACACCCTGTGTTACAGCCTCTAATCCAAACTAATTATTTAATTACTTACCCTTTAAAAGAGAATTAAATTCCCTTAATTAATTAGGAAGGGTCCACCATAGACCATGGACCCTTATCCCTAAACCATACACTTAGTCCTAAAAGAAATAGAATTAGTAAACCCATACCATTCAGACCCTAATTAGGACTCTTAGATATATATAAGGACATAGGAGGCACCTAGAATCCACACCACAATAACTTTCACCCCACAAGAATTCCCAAGAATTCCCATAGGAGAAATCAAGAAGAGGAGATCCTAGAGAAAGACCCTTTATAGCCAAGGATTCTAATTAAGGCTAAGAGGTAACCCATGTCTCAACAAAACCTATTTTCCTAGCTATAGTCTTCTTCTTTAGCTCCTCCTCTATGCTCGTGTCTTGATAAATCTTTTATGATGATTATGATATGATCTTGATATTGATGAGATGATCTTATGTGTTGATCTTGATAATCTTGATGATTATAAGAGGATCTTGATAATTG